ACATCACACTTGCAGATACTATACTTCTTAACTTCTGCATTTTTCTTTTTTACCAACATTGCTATATCACAACACCACACAACCTTTTAGTCATCACAGCATAATCATCACACTCTGCTATTCTAGTAACCCTGATGCTGCAACACTACACAATATACACGAGAAAACACTTCTACAACTCTGCAACACCAACAGATCATACTCTTTAATAGATCAATACCTACAAGTAGCTTTAACAGATCACACTTTGCAACTACAACATAACACTACAACTCTCCAACATTTTGCAAACAACCATTCTGCAACCAACATTCTCTGCAATAAACATTCTACAATAGATCACCTGCAACTCTTCAACATTTTGCAAACAACCATTCTGCAACAAACATTCTCTGCAATAAACATTCTGCAACAGATCACACCCTGTAACTGCAATTTTCAACAACTCATAGACTGCAATTATTGATGCATGTCATCCTTGCTGACTACATTTAGCTTTTCACATAATTCTGCAAAATGGGCAGCAGATAGTGCCTTTGTCAATAGATCTGCAATTTGCAACTTAGATGGCACATATTGTATAGCTACCTTATTAGCCAACACCTGTTGTCTAATATAATGAGCATCTATTTCTATGTGTTTGGTCCGTGCATGAAATACAGGATTAGATGCCAAGGCAACAGCACTAACTTTTTCGCACCGAATGACAGGTTTAGAAGTTATGGGAATACCCAATTTAGCAAATAAACTTTGTAACCATGCAACCTCTGTTCCAATTTGAGCTAAAGCCTTGTACTTAGCTTCAGTAGAGGATAAGGCAACTACTTTTTGCTTCCTGGAGCTCCACTGTATTAAATTTGGACCCATGTACACACAATAACCACTTGTGGATCTCCTATCTTCCAAATTGCTTCCCCAATCTACATCAGCATAGCATTCAATCTGCAAGCTGCCTGTAGGCTTGAAATGCAAGCCATCATCTAATGTCCCTTTCACATATCTCAAAATTCTCTTGCAAGCGTGCCATTGTAGATTTGTAGGAGCTGATAAAAATTGACTTAATTTTTTAAAAAGAAAGCTGAGATCAGGCCTGGTAAGGGTGAGGTATTGAAGAGCCCCAATTGTACTACGATAAAGACTAGGGTTCTCAAACAGTTCACTGTCATTGGAAGCTAATTTTGTACCCACAGCCATAGGTGTACAGCAAGAATTTGCATCTAGCATGCTGGTCTTTGTTAACAGATCAGAGGCATACTTAGTTTGCTTCAAATGAATGCCTTTGCAGGCTCTAGTAGCCTTTAATCTAAGGAAATAATGCAGGGAGCCAAGAGTTTTGAGAGCAAACTCTTCATTAAGTTCTTGCATTAGCTGTGAAATGTTAGTTGGATTGGATCCTGTTAGGAGGATATCATCAACATAAACTAACACATAAGTTAGACAAGAATCTTGCTTACATACAAAAAGACTAGAATCAGAAATAGAATTCAGAAATCCTTTGCTAAGTAGGGCTGTTTTCAACTTATCAAACCAAGCCCTTAGAGCTTGTTTAAGACCATATAAAGCCTTTTGTAACTTGCATACAAAAGTAGGCTAAGAAGAATCTTCAAACCCAATCGGTTGCTGCATATACACTTCTTTATTCAAGGTCCCATTCAGAAACGCATTATTCACATCAACTTGCTGAATATCCCAACAATTTGTTACTGCCAAAGTCAGAATTATTCTGATTGTAGATGGTTTAACCACATGACTAAATGTTTCAAAATAATCAAAACCAGGCTTTTGTTGAAACCCCTTGGCAACCAACCTTGCCTTGTACTTTTGGAGTGTACCATCAGCATTAAATTTGGTGCGAAACACCCATTTGTTTCCTACCACATTCATATTAGGAGATAAAGGTATAAGTATCCAAGTGTCGTTATGAACAAGTGCATCAAACTCAGATTTCATGGCTGCTTTCCAATTAGGACTAGCTAATGCATCAAAAACTGAAGCTGGTTCTATTTCAGCTTGGAGTTGTGAAGAAATAGATAGAGAAGCAGAAGATGTAGTAGGAGAAACCAATGCTAAATCTGAGAAATCTTTGTCCAAGATAGTAGCAAAAATAGGTACAACATCCACATTTTTTGTAGTAAGGCAAGCAGTGGGATGATCATGATTAGCACTATGATCAACATCAGCACTGGTTTGAATAGAGTTTATGGCAGCAGCTTTTGCTCTTGTCACCATAGAATGAGTATTTGTTGCTGCTGACTGAGAAGACATTGAATCTTTGGAGAATTTTGACAGTGTAAGATCAACTTCAAGTGAGCAAGGCGGAGGTATAAAATGGGATGGTATAATGGGCAGAGAGGAATAACTAATGGGTGGAGTAGTATTAGTATGAGAGACTATGTTTAGAGGTTGACTCAAAACTGAAGAAAAAGGTACAGATGCAAAAGGGGATTGTACAGCATAATTTGAAGAGAAAGGTGCAGATGCAACAAGTGGTTGTACACTAGAATTTGAAGAAAAAGGTGAAGATGCAACAGGTGATTGAGCACCAAAATTTGATTGACTCTTAGTATTTGGTGGAATACTAGAATTAGAGTGACTCTTGCTGTGATCTGGAAATAGAGGAGTAGGATTTAATGCAGTAATAGAGTTAGAATGATTACCTCCTATTACACCATTATTAGACTTGTTTGCAGGGCCGAATACTGTAGGGAAACCAGAAGCTGGACCAAAGGAAGTTGGATAAACAGCAACAAATGGGAAAGAAGAGGGAGTTTCAATGTGAGTTTCTTGGGTAGTAGGTGATGAGAATGTAGAACAAAATGAGCCTTGGGCAAAAGGAAACTCAAACTCATTAAACTTGACACTTGGAGTTATTATGATTTTGCCATCAGGTTTTAAAAATCTATAACCCTTGTGAACAAGACTATACCCAACAAAAACACTTTTAACGGAATGAAACCAAACTTATTATCATTGTACATTCGAAGAAAAGGAAAGCAAGTACAACCAAACACTTTTAAGGAGTCATAAATAGGCATATGATTCAATAATTTCAATAAGGTGACATAAAATTAATAGTGGCAATAGGCATCCTATTTATGAGAAAAACAGCGGTTTCAAAAGCTAACCACCAAAAACATAAAGGCATAGAAGCATGGGCAAGAAGAGTTAATCCGGTTTCTACTAAATGCCTATGTTTTCTTTCACATCTTCCATTTTGTTGATGAATGCATGCACATGAATGTCTAAACCGAATACCTAATTCCGTAAGATAGGGTTGTAATGCAATGTACTCTCCACCTTGGTCAGATTGCAAACACTTGAGTTTGTGACCAAATTGCCTTTCGGCAAGATGATGAAACTTGATAAAAACAGATTTTACTTCTGCCTTTGTGCGAAGAGGAAACAGCCAAGTGTATCTACGAAAATCATCGAAGAATTGTACATAATAACGAAAACCCTCTGCAGAAGGTAGGGGTGCAGGACCCCACACATCACTATGTACTAACTCTAGGGGAGCAGTGGTCATGGAAGAAGAAGAAGATGGAAAACTAGTTAGATGCAGTTTTCCCATTTGACAGGCATCATAGAATTCAGATACAAAAATTAGCTTAGATTGAGATTGACTAACAGTATTTTTAGGTAAAGTGGCAAGAATTTTATGTAAAACAAGTGAATGTGGTTGTCCTAGTCTCTTGTGCCATGTCATATATGCATTTTTAGTAGTATCAGCAAGTAAACAATGAATTCCAGAATTAGAATTAGAGTAACCAGATTTACATTGAGACTTAAGAAGATCAGAGGAACTGTCCGAATTTAACTAAACCATAGTAGAATCTTTATTGCTGAAAGAATTATTACATGTCATAAGGCCCCCAGGATTACTATCATCACTAGAGTTATTACATTTCATAAGACCATTAGGATTACTATCATCACCAGAATTAGTAACAAGATTATTTAACTCTACATCATGATGACGACCAGGACTATATGTAGAGCAGGATACACCATGTTTATAGCTGGCTTGACTACAGAACGTAAAACCTGATTCATCAGACTGAGGATTTTCAGTGCTAGACTTATTTGAACTAGAAAGATTGGAACAAAAACCACTAGAGTACGGTGCATCAGAATTGGATAAACAAGGCACAGCAGACCTATGTGAGATATTCAACTGGTACAAGCCTCCTTTAAGTTCCCCTTACAGCAAAGTGGCCCTGGTTAACTTGTCCTTAACAATGCAACAATCAGCATTAAACTCTACCACTACATCATTATCCTTGGTAAACTTAGAGATACTCAGCAAATTTTTTGTGATTTTAGGCACAGAATATTTTTGAGCATTAAACATTTGGAATGGATATGACTGGATAAAGGAGTAAAGCCAATATGAGATATGTTAAGAAACTCACCATTCCCCCTTGAAGTTGATTTGCACCATCATAACTCTTGCTAAGACTCATGTGACTCAAATCAGCAGTGACATGACCTGTTGCGCCTGAATCCATGTACCACATAGGATCAGTGGGAGTGGAAGATGTAGCAAGAGCAGAATGTAAAGCTGGCTGAGGATGAGCTTGCTAATTGTACACGGAACACCCAGATTTAGAGCCAGAAAATGGGACATCTGAACTAGCCACAAAAGCTAGACTACCCCCTGCTAGTTGCTGACTTGGAACATTTAACAGTGAACTTCCAGAATTATCAGCAATTTGATAAGAAAACTATGACTGGGATGGGAGAGAAAATGATTTAGGGTTATCCAATTTATCGGGAACTTGTGGTTTTGAAATTTTTTATTTCTTGTTTTGGGGATTAGTACTATGGCCCATGGTACATGTCATAGACTTTGTACCTCTGACTTTATTGTATAATAATATATCGGGCGGATAAGATTAGTGTAAGTTTCAACTGCAATTCAAGCTAGCACCAAAAAAATTTACATGATAGAGAATAAAAGATATAATAGATTTATTTATGAATTTATTATATTTGCAGTATGAACATATTGACATGAGGGTAAGTAAAACAGCTAGAAGATAAAACAATCTTAGGTATTCTTCACGCGACTGCACATACTATGCTCACAAATGATTGAGATTGTTCAAAGAATAGGACATATTCTAGACAGCTCATAAGGAATATTCGGTCTCTGAAGACGCTCATTCTCCATATTCGCTCTCTGAAGATTCTCTTTAAGCCTATGAATTTCCTCGTTTGATTTCATTTGAGCGTCTTTTGCTTTCAATTCTGACTTTAATCGGACAACTTGTTCCTCAAACAATTGCTTTTCAAGCTTGCTAATTGCCTCTATAAGCTTCAACTCAAGCTATTAAAAACATCAACATGGACCATTAAGCTCTTAAATAACAATATAATACAAATACTGCTCGATATTATTGATGAATGAAAAATATAAGACATTAGCTAAAACATCCGCAAATTTATCAACTGGAGACCATTCCCAAGTAACATGGCATCCCTAAATTAGATACAGTTGGAGGACCCCTGAAATCCTACAACCATTATTAACCATATAAAAATATATGTTTTCATAGGATCTCATTGATTACGAAGATCATTTCAAGGCGTGCTATAAATTTAGACTAGCGGAAAGGGGAAATAATAGTAATAAAACAGGAAATACAATACAAAAATGCTTGACAATAAAGGTGCAATTCGATTTGAACAAACTACCGCAGGTACTCTTATTGCTTCTTAATTCATTGAAAGTCAAAATGCAAAAGAGTAGCTAGAAAACCTTTATTAAAATTCAACTAGTTATAGTCATTAAATCAGAATATGTGAAAATATGGCTTTATAAAAGGGTTTTCTTCAATGAAATGGTAAGCTAAAGCCTCTTAAGTGGTGCACAAGAAATTTAATCTCTCTAAGGGCGGTGTTCTCGTAAAGTACAGGGAACTGCCACAATTGCACCTTTACCATCTTGTAATTATACAACTTAGAATATCTAAATGCAAATGCACATAATAAATCAAGAAATGAACATAGATCAACAAGATTACCGTCTCACTAATTCGTTTGAGTTGATCTTCATATGATTTTTCTATTTCCGCCTTCAGCTTTGTAATTTCTCGTTTTGAATATCCCTTTAGGGAATCAACCTCCACTTGTTGTTCATGATGTTTCATAGTCTCCTTCTATATATCAAATAAAGACATTTCACGACATATTTAATGTAAACTGCAAGAGTGAAAAAAAAAAAAAAAAAAAAAAATTTGTGAGCACACTCACCTTCAGTTCAGCAAATATTTCATCTGTGTATGGTTGTCCGCCATTCTGCACTATGACCCTGTTAACAAGGGAGAGAAGCTCTCCGACTTGTCTAGCTCTTATGGTTTCATCCTTAGTCTTGTTATCGAAAAGCACTCGCCGATTTTCACACAATGCAAGAATATCCTAAGACAATGTTAATATAAATTTGAAAAATAGCTTATATTAACATTTTTACAGGATTAATGAACATTTTAAGAATCGTAAAGCTTGAAGATGTTCAGCCTAGCATATATAACCAAATAAAATAGTTTGAAAACAATATTTTTCTTAAGTTAACAGCACGGCTAATAAATCAAACTTAAGTTAAAAAAGAAACCTTTAAAGGATCTGGACATTCGCGACCCAAATACTCTTCCAATGTTTCCTCATTTTCTTCAAGTTCGTCCCCACCGGTGAAGACTACAATCATGTAGTTTATAATTTTTCTTCCGAACAAAGACTGCAAGGTAAGTACAACAGCTTGTTCTTCTTGTGTAAAACGGTTTCTCACTGAGAAAACTAAAAGGATTGCATGGATACCATCCTTGGCCAATTTAATACATTTGACAATTTCTTTCACAACAAATTCAGATTCAGCAGAAAAATCAAAGAGTCCTGCAATGACTCACCACATTAGTTTATTTGATGAACAAATTTCAAATACAAGATAAAAGTTGTAAACTGTGCAATCAAATCCAAGTTACCATACCAGGAGTATCAATAACATTAATGATCTGGCCATCCTTGAGTTCAGTTCTCTGCAATTCAGTAGTTTTAGTAACACCAGATGAACTAGCCTTGGACTTAAAAGCCCTTTTTCCAAGAATGCTATTCCCGGTGGAACTTTTTCCATTGCCAGTACGTCCAACTAGAACCACAGTCCGTTGTCCACTGGCCACAGGCCGTTCTCCACCGGATAGGGAAGGGAGCTTCGTATCATCATTTATCACAACATCCATCGCACTTCCATCCATTATGTAAAGATTAAATTACTTAAAATTAAAAAGACTTTCGATCAATCATTGCAACCCATGATTTTTTAATAAAATAAATAAAAAATAAAATAAATTGGTCTGTGAGATTACTTACTTGAGAGTCTGAGACGAGGGAGAGAGACAGAGAGAAGAAGATATAGAGTTTGCGTGAGAGACTGAGAATTTATAAATGCATAAATAGAAAAGAGCAGGTGGAATTTTTTTACATTAAGTTACTTGGAGTGATTGCAGAACATGAAGTTGCTTGGATACCCAAACCAAAACTAAACTTAAAAAGGCAGCAATTCCAAAAACAAAGTTAAGAACTAAATATAAAGCATATGATATGCCTAACTATAAACTCACGCATACTTACCTATAAGATTCGATTCTTTACTATTTTACAAGTTCTTAACTGGAATGTCATTATATATTTTTGAGTTGAGGTTGAAAATGTGTTTAATAATAACATTTAAAAGTTATATTCATAACGAATAGATTAGAAGAACAAAAAGAACGATATTTTACACTCAAATTTTAATTGATAATTTTAACAATATATCCCTTATTTAAATAAACAAATGATTGCACAAGATGAACGGCATTGGTATTATAAGCCTAAAAGTGAGTTTACTTTCGTTTTATTATTTCATTTCATTAAATTACTATTGACCTTCAAATTTTTTCTGATGTTAATGTTTTTTAATCGATATAAAAGCTTTTTTATTAACTATCATTCCGTACTATCATTCTATTTCTTTTCATCTTTACTCCACTGCGATGGGAACAATTGATTACTTGTACAACCCAATAATGTGAAAAAAAAAAAAAAAGTATAAAGATAAATTTTGTTATTTCTCTTTGGCCTCCCTTAGTTTTTAATTTAGTAGTTTGGTCCCCATACATGTAATTCCTAACTTCGGCCCTTTCATTCATATAGCACTACATTTTGGTCTCCTAGAATACATTTTCAGGCTCCGCCTTGTGTTAATTAGAAGCCACCCAAATTATTTTCGGTAGTTCATTGGTTTACCTTGAATCTATCCTATTCTTTTGTTCTTTCTCAACTATATATTGTCCTAATTTAGAGTTCACACACTCACCTCAAAATTCTTTTTCCTTTGATCTGAAAACACTCTTAATTCACCCCAAAGCAAAAGATGGCTAAAGTTAAGGTTGCCACCCTTTTCATGATACTTCTCCTCATAGTCTTCTAGACCCTAACGTATGCTACCCCTCCAGAACTGACCTTTCCTGACGATGCTCCAACAAAATCACAATTGGTTGGTCATTTTTTTTTAATGTTTATTGAATAATAAGTATTTATCATGTTGATTTATTTATAGTTTTGGGATTTTGATAGGATACCAATGCGGAGCATATCGATTGTGAAGGAGTTTCAGATAAAATGTGCTCGATGAGAAGAACCCACATTGCTTATACCGACTATATCTATACCCAGGATGAGAATCTAAATACTGACTATATCTATGCCCATGATGAGAATCCATGAGATTATATTGTTTTATTCATTGTAGTGACGATGTATTAATCCAGTATGTTGATTAGGTTCATTTAATCAAAGTTAATTAAGTAAAAATCAAGCTAATTTGAACTTCTGACATGTTTCATTATATTCTCATTGTTTTCAATTAAATTGACTATGCAATTTGGTGTAATAAATGAAATGATTACACTATTGGAAAACAAGTTAACACATAGACGCATGTACTACAAAGGATGAAACCAGCTTGTGTCGTTCTACCTTAACTTCGACATAGCTCAGATTGTCAAAACAGAATCAGATTAATGAAATGCATGAGAAACGCATGCAAGAATGTTGGAGTCCCACACCAACTAGGCATGCTCAAGCCTACTGGGTTACAAGAGGTGGTAATCCTCCCATTCAACGAGGCCTTATTGGGTGAGGAGTCAGACCAACCTTAAAATCTATCATGGTATAGTGAAAATAGAGAGAAAAGTTGAGAGAGTTTTGAAAATCTTAGAACTCTTAATTTCTGATTTCTTAACTGAACAGTAATCATTTAGTGAATGTTTTATATAACAAGAAGCAACTGTGTAAACAATTGACATAAACAAATCCAAAATGACATAGTTTGGAGCTGCTGTCACAATATCAGTAATTACAATGAGGACCTTCATATTTTGTCCTTTTACATTTTGGCTATCATTCCCCCTTAAACTGGACTATCCTTTTCTCTTGTTGTCCTTTGCTGTAGGATCTATAGAAGAAACCTTTGCTGAACTTTGTAGCTAAGAGACTACTGGATTGAATTTCCGATATGACAACAAAAATAATTTCCAAAAAAAGTCTACAAATGATAAGCTTCAACTCCATGCAAAAAAAGAACTACCCAAAGTTGAACTACCAACATGCAAAAGATGAACTTCCAACATGCAGTTAGAGTTGTACTCAACTTCCAGGCCAAAACTGAACCTTTTAAAACATAGAGCTGAGCTCCAAAGTTCAGCAATAGAGCAACACAGAGCTGAGCTCCGAAGTCCAACAATAGAGTAGTAGAGCAGTTTCAAGCAGCTTAGAATAAAATAAAATAAAAAAAAAAAACTGCTATTAAAAACTTACTGACATTTCAAGACACAGCAGTAGACTACATAGTAGCAGGTTGTGGAGTGTCAACAACACAAAGTTTTTGTTTCAATTCTTGAAATTGAGTAATGGAGAGGGCTTTGGTTAACACATCATCAATTTGCAGTCGTGAGGGAACATACTGTACAGCAACTTTCTTTGCTAAAACTTAATCCCGGATATAGTGAGTATCAATCTCAATATGCTTTGTCCGAGCATGAAAAAGGGGATTGGAAGCTAAGGCACAAGCGCTGACATTATCACACCAAATTACTGGACAAGAATTGAGAGATACACCCAATTCAGAAAACAGACTTTCCAGTCAGGCCAATTCAGTTGCTATATGTGCCGGTGCTCTATATTCAGCTTTAGTAGATGATAAGGAAACCACTCTTTGCTTTCGGGAGCTCTACTGAGTCAAGTTAGGCCTAAGATATACACAATAGCCACTGGTGGACCTCCTGTCATCTAGATTACTTCCCTAGTTAGCATATACATAACATTCAAGGTGAAGAGAAACTATCGGTCTAAACTGAAGACCATGAGATTGAGTTCCTTTAAGGTATCTTAAAACCCTCTTGCAAGCTTGCCATTGTAACTTAGTAGGAGCTTGAAGGTACTAACTTAGTTTGTTGACTGTAAAGCTAATGTCAAGCCTCGTTAAAGTTAAGTACTAAAGAGCTCTAATAGTACTTCTATACAAACTGGGGTCTTTAAACAACTTACTATCTGTGACTAAAAGTTTTTTACAAACAGTCATGGGAGTAGGGCAGGAATGTGCATCTTGCATCTTAGTTTTTACAAGCAGATCAGTAACATATTTGGTCTGCTTCAACTGAATTCCTTCATGTATTCTAGTTGTCTCCAGACCAAGAAAATAGGTAACTGAACCAAGTGTCTTCAATGCAAACTGATTGTTTAAGGTTTCAACAAGCTGTAAGATGCAAGAAGTGTTGGAACCAGTAATAAGAATGTTGTCTACATACATGAGGACATAGAGAACTTCAACATTATCCTTAAGAATGAATAAACTGGAATCTAAAACTGAATTCTTAAAACCTTTGTCCAACAGTGCATGTTTGAGTTTATCAAACCATGCCCTTGGAGCTTTTTTTAGACCATAAAGAGCCTTGTTTAGTTTGCGCACATATGAAGAAAGATGAGGAACTTCGAACCCTTTAGGATGCCTCATATAAACAGTTTCAGTCAATTGGCAATTAAGAAAAGCATTATTTACATCAACCTATTGAATGTCCCATCTAGAGGAAACAACAAGTGTAAGGATGATTCTAATAGTACTAGGCTTAATGACAAGGCTAAAGGTTTCAAAATAATCCAACCCAGGTGTTTGTTGGAAACCTTTAGCAACTAGCCTAGCCTTACACTTGGAAAGTGATCCATCATCATTAAATTTTGTCCTGAAACCCCATTTGTTGCCAACTATATTCATATCGGCAGTCTTAGAAACAAGACTCTAAGTTTCATTTTTCATTAGAGCATTAAACTCAACTTGCATAGCCTCCTTCCATTCATTACTAGCAAGGGCTTCACTTACTGTTAAGCTTTCAGGTTGGACAATGGTTGTAGATAATGTGAGGGCAGTGGAAGGTTGTGTAGAGGCTTTACTTGTTCAAGTGTAGAGGCTTTACTTGTTGTTTAGGTTGTACAGTAGTGATCACTAGATGAGTTGGTAGTCATGGGTGAAGAAGGTGAAATAGGAGCAGAGAATCGTGATGGAGTTAAATCTACTACAAGAGAGTAACTAGGAGGCTGAGAAGAATGCTGTAAATGGGTCTGATTAGGCAAAGATAGTGACTCACTAGTAGGACAATTGTTCTTAAAATAAGTGAAATCAATCTCAAGAGGGCAGGTGGATAAAGATGTGTTAATTGTAGTGGAGGATGAATCAGTAACCCATGATATCATTCAACTCTTGGGCCCTGAGAATTGAAAGCATTACACACGATAATAAAACTTAGAAATCATGCTCAATATAGAATCAAAATAATAATGTCAACACATGTTCATAAATTGGGCTACATCTTTAGCCCTAGAAGAGAAAGTTAGTTCATAATGAAAATAACAAAATCCATCATTCTAATCAATGACATCAATTCAAGAAAAAGATAAACTTCTCTAATTGGTGAACGAGAGCTTTCAGGATCCCGATCTCCAACTTGGTAGCCGTCATCTTCTCCGTCCAAAAGTCCTCTTTTAATTTCTTAAAAACTCTCTTTTATATCCCTGGGGTTCTTGGTCGTGTTTAGGAAAAAGATTAGAAACTTAGCCCATTCAGATTCGGATTAGGGTAGTGAATTAACACAAACCCGTGACCCATCGCCGCAGCGGTAAGAATGGTCACCGCGGTGATCATTCTTTATATCCAAGGCATCCATAATCTTCAGAATTTGAATAAGTCATCAACAAAAACATTGTAGCTCTCTGAATAAGCTTTCCAACACCACTAGAATAGTCGAATTCTGATTTCTACAGCTCAAGTTATGACAAAAACATCGAGGCATACGCATGATGAAAGATTTCCAGATT